AGCAGCCTCATGCCGATGACCTAGTTGATGTCATCATTTACCCAGAATGCTTTGCGTGTAAATAAAATGGCCCCGTCCGTGTGATATATTTTTAAACTTTTAGTTATAGTGATAAACATATACTTTAACTGTAAAATAAAGACTGTAAAAATACTATAGGATGTTCAGTTTTTATAATTTTTAAAGTATATGTTTATCATATAAAGTCTAATGTTACAACTAATCGGGGATCCCTTTAACGGTTAAATGTAAGACGAACTTTGTAGTTTGTTAGCACACCATTTGTTACTTTTTGGCAGAACCAAAAATCTCCATGGCCTGGACTCCTGGGACGTTACTTTTTCATTTAACGCTTCAGAAACGACCTTTTAAGAAGAAGTTCTGAGAGCTGTTTGTCGGTAAACAAAACTGCTTTAGTTTTCAAAGTTATGCAGAATCAGATATGAACGCAGTCGTTGCCAAAATCTTTAGGATTGGTTTCCATTTTTTAAGCAATCTTCCAGCTACTGTAAAGTCCTGTTCTTTGGCGACTTCCATCATTCCCAGTATCGCTACAGAAACAGTATATTTTATTTTGAAATTAAATAGCTAAAGCAAAAAATAAAATAAAACACTTTGGATTTTTAGTTTACCAAAAAGAAAAACTGTTTTTTTCTTTTGGCAATTTTATTTTGAAACTGAAAAACGAGCCAGACACAGATTGATGGAGGTCTCAGGTATACAGTACTGGGTTTGATTCCTACTCATTTTCACCCCAGTTCAGACCTTCATGCATTTGATTGAGACATTTCAAGCACTATTAAGACCCCTCTTGTGCGGGTCGGTAAAACCTGGAACGCTCTAGACATTGAAGTGACAGGAAGCTGGAAAAAGAAACCCCCACAGAAAGAAGAGCAGGATGTTTGACATGACGCAGGTTTTATTTTCATCACCATCACACTGCACAATGTAGAGACCAATATTACAGTAATAAATACACAAACACCAGCAGATAAACTGTCGCACAGGCACTAAATATAAGCAGGCACAAGCTGTTTTTACAGTGTAAACAATACAACAGCAGCTCGTTTCACCCTCTGACTTCAGACCAGGTTGTGGGAGTAGTACCGTTTCCGTATTTAGAACATCATCTAGTGATTTTTGAAAAATATTACTAAAACAAAACACTGTGATATGCTGAGAAAATGCATTCGTTGTGACCAACAGCGGAAACTAACATCCGAGCTCAGAGAGTAGGCAGGAGACACAGCAACAAGTCGTTTCTTGAATTTGCTTGCCGTATTTCAAAATTAGAGGCCGCTGTTTCAGATATAAATACTTTTTATTGCCAGAAATTCACCTCTAAGCTCCGTCGGGTTCAACAGGAACAAAATGAAAACGTGGTTGGAAATATTTTCATGTCCTTGTTTTTTTTTTCCCTCCCCCGTGTATGAGTTTCAAAATAAAAGCACATTAAAAAAATTGAATCGGGACCTACAGACACAAGTCATGCAAAAACAAAACGTCATGCATGAGTAAAGGAGCAGAACGGTCCAGATAGATCTACCTGCTGCCAGGCACGCTGGAGGATTTATGTGAGAGAAATAAAACAAAGCCCCCTGATGTGACGATGCAAACGGACCAGTTTTAACACAGTGTGGCTTTGAAAAGTTTACAAACTGGCGCCCCCTTCAGGCAGCTGCTCAAACTGCAGTTTGTCCACTTTAAAAAATTAGGACTTTAAACTAAAAAATAATAGTAATAATTCCTCTCAGGGTTTCATTTAAACTTACTGAACTCAAGGCAGGCAGACAATATCAGGTTAATTAAAACGGCTCTTCTTGTTTTGTTTTGTCCCTCAGACCTCCACAGCCGGGTCAGAACCCAGGCCCTGCGACTGCATCGCGTCCTCTCGCTTCATCTTGGGTTTCTCCGTTCGGGTGTGCCACACCAGCACCTGCAGAACACAAACGCCGCTAGAGGATTTCAGCAATTCATTCATCAAAACGTTGAGCTCCTTCAGGACATTCCAGCCACGTCTCTTTATATTTCAGCTGTTTAGACTATTTTAGCTATTTCACATTTTCCGTCACATTTTTCCCCTTTGAAGGTGAATGGAGCTGTTTTCAACATCCTTAAAATCCTTTAGAATGTTTCTACATCTTTACAGCACTTTTATTCTGCTTCTGCTCTTTTTAAATTTTCTTGTGCTAATTTTAGCTACTTTTTTGCTAAATGTAACTTTTTCTGCTATTTCAGCTGTAATTCTGCTATTCTCCTGCTATGTTCTACTTTTTATAGCTTCTTTGAGTTATTTATGCTTCCTACAGTTGCATTTTTCTACATTAGGCTATTTGCTGCACTATTAGCTAGTTCAGCTGTTATTAGCTAAAGTTAGCTTTTAAAGCTAAATATACTTTTTTTGTGGGAACAACTTATTTCTGTTAATTCAGTAAACTTGTGCTCTTTATGCTAATTTATAATAATTTTCAGCAACATTTTGGCTGATTTAGCTTTTTTACAATTTTTTTTTTACAAATTGTCACTTTTTAAACTTTTACTAATTTTTTTTACTACTAATTTGGTATTTTTATTACACCCCTTTCAT